CGTGGAAAAAAGGGGAAAGAAAAGTTAAAAAAATTTGGATAAGGGAGGGAAAATGGAAAGGAAGTTGGGGGAAAAATGTTTTTATTTTTTGGTTGCCCCCCCCCCCCCCCTGGCCAAACACGGAAAGCAAGTTGGTGTGCACGCGAGGGGAAGCGGGGGCGGGGCGGGGAATGTAGATTCCCCCGGAATTTCAGCATGCACGCGAGGGAGTACGGGGGCGGGGCGGAGGACGACGAAATGTCGAATTCCCCTTATCGGCGAAGGATTTTCGAGAGGGCGGGGTATTCGATGAGAACATTTTCCTGATCCATTCGACGGGGTGTTTCACATCGAGGAGCAACCTATGTATATTTGGGCGACGCCACCTCTCTCCCGAGGCATTCCCGTTGATCCAACGGTTTAGGTGAACACACGACTCTACTCGTTGGTTTGGCGTAACGTGGGGGCTTTCGCGGTCTGTTGAGGAACCTTGTTGCGTTGGTTGCGCCTGTGCATGCGGAGAGGAACTCAAACATTGAGATGTCGTGAGGAACTCACACATTAGAGATGTTGCCGCGCTGTCCTGATCGCGCTGCGCAACATGCACGCGTTGCAGCCGCCATGACATATTTTTGCGTGGTAGGGCATCACCTGATTTGCGAAGTGCTTGACGAAGGTGTAGTAGATCTCACGCTGGGTGGCCGTCTTGCGTGTCTCCAGCAATCTCATGGAGAAGCTCATGACGCACAGAATACTGAAAAAAATGTCAGCAACAAGGCGCACGAGACGAACGCAGGGTGTGACCCTTCGTTTTGCGGATTGTTCTGGTGTGAATGAATCATGGGAAATTCGAGAGGTTATGTTTGCGAAGAACTTTTTTGAGCCGTTGTTGGAGACACATTCAAGCTAATTCCGGGCGTCTCCGTCGAAGGGGCGCACTGCATGGGCCTCGTAAAGGTTTTTCCAACATATATCTTGAAACGTCCACAGCTAGACTGCTGTACGTTCGGCGATCTTTGAGAGCTTAAATCTCATGCCGGCCTTTGGTTTTGGTGATACATTCACTGCTGGAGAATCTGCGAAAAACTGACTCTACCTCGTTGGCACGTCGAACAGTTTCTGGTTCTGGCCAGCCTTTGGCTCGTGTTACGATGTTTGAAGTTCATACCTCGCATAGCTTACGCAGGTATTAATTGACCTCGCAATTTCGCTCTCGCCCGCGCCCTGCCTTGACAGCACCAGTCGTTTCGCCACCGACCTGGAGGTTGGTAGCGGAAGAACAGAGGCCGCCCCCTTCAAGCAGCCGGCTCAATTGTTTCGGGATCACCGTTCAGAACCCCGCCTTGTATTCGCGTTCGATAACGGGCGTTGGGCCCGAGTTCCGAAATACCATCGAGATTCAGTTTGGGAGATGTTACCGGCTCTCTACTCACGCAAGTCGTTTCCGCGGGCGAACTTCCGGAACGGTTGTGTGTCCGCAGCCCATCTTTGAACGGCGTGCTCATTAACCACATGCGGCCAAGCTCAGGCTTTGCCGAGTTCAGCGCAGCACAACTGTTTGCCACTTGGCCAAGCTCAGGCGTTGTCGTGCTTGACGCGCCAAAGCGCCCTGCTCAACCCTTCATCCACGGCACATGGCACATTGCATTATGTGATCGGTCGTAGATCGAGGATATCGCGGCCGAGACTAACACCCAAGTCCGAAAGGGCAAGCAATTGGTTCGTCTCGCTTGCCGTGTTTTGTCGAAGCCCAGCACCCCCGGACTGTCATCATCATCGTCGTCCTCAATGCCTTCGTCGTTGCCTTCGGTAGCTCTGTTCCAGGACACGCCGACAACAGATTCAAAGAGTTTAGGAAAGGAAGGTCGAGGGTCGGAGGCATTGTTCACCTTGCATCGCTCACTGCTGTAGGCTAACACTTTCTTTCTTGAAAACGGTATCATTCAAACGACATTGAAGTATCTTAGGCCAAACGCATAGCAAGGCTAAGCAGTTATGGTCCCCTCAAAGGCAGATCCTTCGCGTGTCCGTACACGATGTCGCCGGGCAGGAATGAATATAAACAGAACTCGGATATTCCTACTTCAACACATGGTGTGATGAGCGCACACGAGTGCTTGCTGCTCACGGTGCCTTTTATCGGTACGGCTGAAGAGCCTGCTGACACCTAACTGAGATCATGCGGCGCGATTTTTCACTCTCGCATGGTTTGTCTCGAGGAAAACGAGCATATACAGCATTTCCGCGGGGGAAACTCTGTGATCTACAGCGCAAGATGGGACCACGGCAAGCTCTACGCTGTGCAGTGCAACTATGCCAACAGCCACGTAGTCCAGGGACCACGTATCGTCGAAGGCCCCAGAACGACCGTTGCCTAGCGTTCATCGTGGCCGTTGTGTCCAATACGCAAGACCCGTGCTGTAGGAGTTTATCGCATGTTGCGCGTTCCACGCGTGCCAGACTATCTCACTGCAGTATTCCATGCTTTGATATTCAAATCGCCGCGGAGAAATTTGCCATGTGCACGAGAACGCAAATTCAGGACAGACAAGGACATACACCTCGGAACCCGAACCAAACCGGGTCGTCTTTGCCCTTCCGAGATAGTTCCAGGATCAGCCTCTGAGGTAAACTATCGATGGTTTGGAAATATTTTTTTTGAATTTATCTCGGATGGGAAAACTCCAAAACCACGGCTAATCTTACAAGCATTTGCGTCACCGCCGATATCAAGGGGTGAAGTGCGTGAGAGATAGCATTAGAGTACGCACTGCTCTTCGAAGGACGGGAGATCCCCACCGGCCAGCTGGTCCAGCCAGTCGACGACAAACGCCTGAATCTTGGCGAGAACGCGCTCGCGATCGTCGGATCGTACATCCAATGGACGAGAAAGTACCATCACTGACATGGTCGATCTTCAGCAGAGGAAAGGTTGCAGGGGGAGGAGAGGGACGTGAAAACAGGACGTGGAAACATGAGAGGAGTGGAAGGAAACATCAATGTGTTCAGATGTAATCTTTTTGTCGGGGCCGTCTGATGGCATGCCCTTCATTGCTGGCATGAATATCGAAATGACTGGACCAATCATTTCACAAGGTACAGCCGTGACATGAGGAAATACGGAAAAACAGGTGGGAGAATGCAGTGGTACTTGATGCGTTCCAAAAAGACGGTGAACATGCGGCCCCTAGACCCACTTTCACACCTCGATGTGTGCACTACCAAGAGGTCGGTCGCCAGTGTCGAACATGATGGTGTTGGGAAACATTCGTTTAATCATTTTGTCGATCAAGGTTCATTCACTGTTCACTGTGGAGTGATCGAACCGTCAACCTATCGTCGGTATGCGAGAATTCGCATGCGAACGAAGGTAGAATATGCGTAGGAAGAATTGGACAAAGTGAAATTCAGAATCTGAAGCACTGATCCAAGCAATCGAATAATGATATTCTCAGGCTCGACTGTGTGTCGTGAAACCGCGCCCTGGCGCTCTGACACACCATTCTATTGAGATTGGTAGCATCATGTCATCAGAAGTTTATACGTCCACCTGGGATGAGCCCGTGCTCTGGCTATACCAACTTCAATGCAACCGGGTGCTGGACCACGCTTTGAGCCAGTGACGTGACGAGATAAGTGACTTTCGCATACGTTCACCTACTCCCTGTGTAACTCCTTGAGGTCTGATTGTTCTGAATTATTAGGTAGCCTTGTCTATGAAGCTGTCAGGCAGATGCAAACCAAAGAATTTCGTTGCATTCATCTGTGTGCGTGTTCATATATGAGCAGAGGCGAGCAGGACGATCAAGAGGGTATGAGGTCTTGTAGCTGCCATGCCGCTCCCCTCTCCAAGAATACCAGGTACACACGGTGCACGTATTTCATGAACCAGGTCTCACTCTACTGCAGAATATTGTTGCGGGACCTGTCCATACCATACACTCTGAAGCGATACACGTGCCTAGGCGGGAGCTTGAATGAGGTAACGGTATGAGATGCAGTATGGGATGCAACAAGTCTGCCAACTCACACATGTGGCCCGGCGGGAGAGAGACTGAGCAAGGGCGAGTGAAATTTCCCAAAGCACCGATCGAATCCGTCTACGTCCAGGTGACAACATTGAGGGAGGGGATGCGGGTTGACTGTGACTATATGCAGTATGGGTGAAAAACTTTCACAGGATGATAGAGCTTGTCATCAGTATGGAGTGCGCAATGGAGCGATGAAATCGGCCACAGTAGTCTACGATGCGGCGTGGCACACACCTCCGAACAAGACACCTCCGCCCGAGGCACAGAAGAACACGAGCACGAGTACCAAGGAGCACTCTAGAAGCCAGCAGTATCGCGAGATGATGGTGGTGGACGTGTCGAGTTCGGAGGCAGCAGGTGTAGGCGTACAGTGCAGGTGTGCAGGGGGAGACGTGGAGAGACAAGTGAGAATACCCATGCCCGTCTGCCACGATTTCCTCACGGGCCCCCCTAGTTCGAACTCAAAACCCTGAGCCGGTTGACTGCTGACAGCGACGAACGCACGATAGGGGACCAGACTTTGACCGCACTGCCGATCTAGAAGCAGCAGTTGAAGCTTGCGGGATTTCGTTAGACTGCTCTTCTCTCTTGTGATTTCATATTCGTCCCTTCCAGCAACAGACGGAGATTCGATGGATCGGTTCAAGCGCGGCAGTCAAGGTGTGTGGCAAGGTTTGCCCTCCCTGCTTGCTCGAGTGTGCACCTTTCGCTGTGTCATCGTAAGTCACGGTCAACCTTCTGGCAATTCCGTCTCTCTCTGGCCTTCCTCCCCTGCTCTCTCTCTCTCTCTCTCTCTCTCTCACACACACACACACACACACACACACATTTTCATCCGCTCTGAGACTGACGTCTTTTCATTGGTCAGCCGGTCGGTGCGGTCGATGGTAATAAATGCGACACACACACCTACACAATTCCGCACTCGACGGGTTCGCCGGTACTGCGACACCCAGCCTGAGATCAGCAACCGTCGGTGAGCTTGTCGGCTTTTGCAAGCGTCACTGCTCTGGTGCTTGGGTGGAAGAGGTTTCCTGCTGAAGGTACAGTCGGTAGAGACTCAGTATGACCAGAAGTTCCGCCGCGTTTCCTCTTCACTATTTCCTCATATGAATGCTACAGCAGTATTCGTTGAGGTGTGTCATGGCTTCACGATCATTACTAAAGTCACCCTTCTCCCTCCTCTGTTTCTGCAGGTGACCGATCCTCCTCGGCAACACCTAAAGCTGATGGGAGACTTCCACTCAGCTTTTCCTCGGAAAGCCCGGCCCCGGATTCTCGCTCTGAACCTCCTGTCACTCCAGAGTTTGGACCCGGTAGGCTCACGTACGCATTAGGAAGCATGAATACAAGCACACATAGAAAGACTACCCATTCGATACTCATGATCGAGGTTTCATCCCAAAACGAGCGGAGCACGTGACCCCTATTGTGCCTTCACGGCCGTGCCTTCGTTGTGTTAGATTGTGGAATGTTCGTGGTAAACGTAGGGATGACAATTCTGCGGCATCCATCGGTGGTATGCGAGCTGAAAATACTGCTGTCCGTATGGTGTCCCTTGCACCACGTCGAATCTCATGTCTGTCTCGACTCTGCTGCTGGTTTTGGCAATCGTTACAAAATGAGCTTACAGTTGTCTATGCCAGTAGCTAGCTATGTCGCTTGGCGTACTTGACGGCGTCACCTCTGTGGTGCTCTCCACGTTCCTCCCTCGTTTTTTCATCGCCGTTCACTTGGTGCAAAACCTACAGCGAGCTGCAGCGGTATGACGAATCGGACACCAGCTTCGTCTGAGCCCGAGCAGCAAGCCAGACCCGGATTCTTCCGTAGTCATTTCTCCACCAACTCCGACGGGTCCGGGCCCTTAACACCGGTGGGCACAGTCACTGGAGGCGGTGGTGGCGGCGGTACCAGCATCTCACGAACCCAGACCAAGATGTCAGCTGCTTTAACCCCACAGGCGGTCACGCCCTCTCCCCACAGCGGTGTTGCATCCTCCTCGTCCTTGGCCGACGACAGTGGTGACATCAACACGGACCAGGATATTTCATTCCCTTCTCGGTCGTTTTTTAGCTCCTTCCCTGAATCGTCGAAACCACCGCCTTCCGTGAGCTCTACTGCACCTCGCGCTTCGTCTGACACTCATGCTGCAACTATCTCCTCTGCGCCATCGAAGGGCAGTGCCAGTACTGGGAAGAGGCGCATGCTCCTAGATGTGGATGTGCAGTGCAGCGGTAGCAGCGGCAGGACTGTTGGAGCCAGCGGTGGTGGCCAACATCCTGCCATTTCTCGAGTTCCAGTTGAGTCATCGTCACCATCGTGTCTCCAGTCGCCAGAATCTCCCACTATCTCTGGCTCCACAGGCAAGGGGAAAGGAAAGCAGCGCGCCCCTCAGCAGCAACCGAAGAAGCGGGCCGCTTCGCAGCACCATGAAAGTGGCCAACACCCTTCAGCACAATGGTCAAGCGGTGGTGGTCGTGCCAGGGAGGGCGATGAATCGTCTGCTGCAGGCGTTCGCAGTGGCGATGGGGTCTTGCCCCGAGTGGAACAAAACAAGGTTTGAATTTTGCCCCATTCGGGGGGTTGTCAAGTGTTGTCTACTGTAGACTTCGTGGTCTACGAACGCCAGGAAAAACCGTCGCACAGGAGCATTTCACTTAGTACAGAGACAGGATGCTTCATAAACCATTCAATTTCATTTCTTACATAGCCAGGAATGTCGGTTGGACGTTGTTCGAGTGAACTGTAACTCCCAGCCCCGGCAAGGCGGAGGACAAACCGTTGAGTATATTTCATCATCGGTGGTCAAGCCACTACTGTATGAATGGGTTTGATAATATTGTCCTGCTCGGTTCACTCAATTATATTCGCCATTCCTCACTTCATGCTCTAGCGACCTTCTACTACTCTTGGCCGTCCTGCTCCCGGACGAGGACCGGCCGGGCCTGCCCCTACTACCGTCACTGCCAATGCGGCTGCCGCTGCCGCCGCATCGAAGGGCAGGGGCTCCTCGCGCCGTAAATCATCCTCTCCGATCTCCCCGCCGCTGGACGCTGTCATGGACGATCGCGATCCATTCGATGACCACGTCAAAGCTGGAGAGGCCGCCTCATCAAGTCTAGCGGTAACCTCCTTGTCAAATTCAATAGATACTGTCGAAACTTGAAGCCATTCCGCCGTGAAGTCGTTGCAGCTCCCCATTGTCCTGGATGCCGAATGTAGGGCGCTGCGATGTGATTGGTGCCCAGCGCTGTCCAGCCAGCTATGTCATTGTGTCCTCGCCACATCCCATACCTCACTTGTGAATCCCGAATCGATCATCGATCAACACTCTGAATATTTCCCCATGAACTCGCTTGAACCGTTTCATACATCACTACAATTCGTATTTCATACCCCCACGAGCGACAATCCATTGTGTGCGCTTGCTCCGCCAGAACAGACGGACAATAGGATCCAATGGCCCTGCGTAGTGACTCATACAAAGTCTAATCAGCTGCGCACCGGTTTACTGTTTCAGGATCGATTATATCCAGCGTTTGGTCCTCGTCTTCGCGCCTGTCGCTTAGCCCCATTCATTCTTTGGACTCATTCCAGGAAAGCACCGAGAACGTCATGAAGCGCCAGTTGACATTTCGAGAGGGCTTCGCACGCGCTCACTCTCAGCTGCTCCAGGTGAACCCCGAACTCAACCTCAACCGCGTTTGCCCAGTGTAGTGCATATTGCTTGAGGAATGAATGCGAGTGCCGGCAGATCGAAGAGTTGTTGGCCGTGCACAACCGAAAAGGATGAGAATATTTCACTGCAACGGTAATGAAACAACGAAGAATGTGTCCCCTCCACTATAGTATCCCGTGGTACAACGACAGACCATATAGATGAGGAGCCGCAACGGCTGAATCGTGTCGTTGGCATGTGCGCGTTAAGACTTGGCTCGACCACCATAAAGATAAATATTTGCTCCAAGGCCTGGGGCCAACACTGCACCTGCAAACCTTTTCCCACGCGAAGCAGAATATTGAAAAAAATAACTTTGTGAAGTGGAGTGTTTCATACTGACATACGCAGCCTTCATTCCTTGAAAAGCTCGACGACGGTTTCAAGATGCTGGCCCAAGTGGACGAGCTGCTGGTCGATGCTCGCGCTCTCCTGAAGGGTATGGGGATCGAACCAGAATCAGCCGAGCAACCAAAGGCGATGGACGAAGATCGTGCGGGCTACCAAGCGGAGAGCCGAGAGGTCTCAGAGCAAGGTAGCCACGACCCTCTTTTGTTTCTTCCTCAAGGCTCACTACCGCCACTGGTAGCGCGGGATGGCAACCACAACAACAACGATGGCGGCGGTTTTTCTCCGAGCTTGTCCACGGGTGCCGTCACCCAGCCACCGGCAAGTGCCGCCAGGGTAGAAGGAGAAGACGGAGGAGGAGGAGGAGGAGAAGGAAACAACGACATGGACATCGCCTCCACTGAATAGGAGCTCGTGCGGCGAGCGAAACACCTGGCCAAGCGGACATCTAGAAATGCCAACCCCACGGAAGCTTGTCATCGGAAACAAGACTGTTGTACCTACCTTGCGCAGCATTGGCATGCGGAGAATTTGGTCGTATCGCAAGTGAAACCCCTGCGTCCGGACCTTTCGGCAGCTACGACCACTATGGACGGGATTTACCACGATAGCCCAAAACCTGTTGTTATGGTTTTGAGAATCCCCCTTCAATGTGTGCATACATCCTCGGCAATTGGATTGCAGAGGAGTTATAACTTTGCCCTTCCCTTTCACGAAACCATCCATGCAGAACAGTACGGTGTATGCTCGAAAACCGTGCCTACGCGCGAGAGTTTGACTTGGCGGGAAGCAGCAAGGTGAACGCACCCGTGCATTGCGGAGGTTATGAAGAACTCGTCTTGGTGCAAAACGCGGTCTGCGCGTGCTGGCATTTCTATGCGGTGATGATTCAAAGAATGAAGATTGGCAGCGTTGTGAGTGAAGATTCGGTGGCAGCAATAGCGGACAGAGCCAACCTCGCTAGTGCACAAGTTTGATATCGTCCCCTCTACAGCATCCTGGTCGAACTCGCCATCGAACGGGTTGCATCAGTTCCCAGATAAACTTCTTCACCCAATCATGGCATGACGTTGTTTTCGCCTCGTTCAGGCAGCCTTTGGGCCTCGGGGGAAGACTTGATCGATAAGGTGCCGCGTACAACGACTGTCACTATTGGCGGGCACAGAGTTGGCAGGGTAGAGAATCTGGTCGGTCATGTCAGAACCCGCCAGGGATAGAGAGGGCAGGGCAATCACAAACAGGGCCGTTCAATAGAGCGCTGAACCCGCCTCACCAGAGCATTCATTGCTATATCCGCCCTCATGACGCCGGGTTCGAAGGCACACACGTGACCTGTCAGTCAGCTTCCACGAGCACCACCAATGGGAGGCAGCGTGTGGCAATGGCGGTGCAGGAGGTGGCATTGCTCGGGGTCCACGCAGCAATGCATGCGGTTACTCTCGTTCTGGCGAATATGAAATGCTTGGACTCAGGCGCCAAGCTCATAACAAGCATTCTTGTGCCAACATCGTACACCGAAACTAAAAAAAGGGGCCACAAAAACAAGTTGCTAACATACAAAATCCGTAGCTGGCGTTTCGCTCCCCTAACCAAACGATCTGCCTTCCAAAGGGTCTGTTGTCCATACGGACGCTATCGTGCTCGTCTTCGGAGAGTGGCTTCAGAGCTCCCACGAATGTCGGCACTGGAGGCACTGGACGATGACGCGGACCTGCGTGCCAAATGTCGAAGGCCGCGGCATTGGAAGGGGAGCGAGGGGGCACGACGGTGTTGCAAAAGAACAGCGGCGAAAGAAAAGAACGTGTGCAAAGGAGCAGAGATGGGCACGCGAACAAAACAAAATATTGCCCTGTATGTACAAGGTTAAAGCGTAGTGGCCGAGAACAAGAGAGATCGAAACGTTCTCACGTATCTGGCCGAACGCTAAACAAGCACCATGAAACGACGCCCATCCATGACGAACACTCAACAAAAAACAGTCCGTCAAGAAAACCCTCGTTTTCTGCTTTCCTTTGTCATAACAACCATGGAAAGCGGGGAGTTGAGACAAAAACACTCACTCTGTCGACCACCGCCTTTCTCCTCCAAGTGCGATACTGCGTTTTCTCGTGCCCACACTCGACACAGGCGAAGCGATCGGTCACCGTGTGGAAGGGGCTGTCTCGGCTCGATGTGACCTTGTTTCAAAAAATGAAAGGATTGATTCAGGGTGGGTAGGGCGCTACATTCAACATCTACCTTTGCTTTGAAGTACCTGTTGTGGAGAAAGAAGAGCAGCACGCACACGAGTATCGTGAAAGAAGCGTAAGGCTCTAAACAGAGAGAAAAAATAACCGAAACTCGCATGGGCGGGCCTGCTCTGACCATGTCATCGACCAATGAGGTAGCAGGCGACATCTTACACCATCATCGTTGCTTGAGCAACGCACAAAGCCATCCCGGGACACATGAGCACGATAATGCCAGCCACGACGCGCTGACCCCGCATAGGGCTGATATTGTGCCTCACCTCTCGGATACGCTTGCGGGCAAACCTCTCCCGCTCTCGTCGAACGGAGAGAGGGGCCAAGTCGTTGGAGCTCATCCGCACCTGCCACCACAAGGCGAGAAACAGCGAGAGCCGCCGCGGCAATGTTTTCGGGAAGAGAACAAGACATCAATGCTGAGCCCGAGTCAAGCGTTGATGCAACGATCGCCGCACATTGCCGGCTACTGGTCGACTGTGTGCACGTGCCGCGGCACCATCGAGGATTCAGTAAGTTCTTGTTGCACTTGTCATCTGGTCCGGCGCTATGAAGGCGACACTGGCAACATCATGTATAGAGGGCATAGGCCAACAAAGAAACCAGGTAGGTAATCACCGCAACCACAAGACAATCTTCGCGAGTCTTCAGATGATACGGCGAAAACAGTAGGTGACGCAAGGGTTGGACCATGGGCCGGACGAAAAGTGAAAAAGATCCCGAGGCCTCGCCACCACGAGCACGGCAAGTAATCGCCAGCAGGGTGTGGACAGGGAATAATGCCGAAACCGCAATCCCTGTCGAAAATCGCTGGTGGTACACGTAGAAGGTGACTCACCAGGTCGCTCGGCAGAAGGGATCCAGACAGGAGTCGCTCCCTTAGGGGGTCGTTCTTTCCCACCCTCAGGTTGAACGACATCTCCCGGGCCTTTGCTTTGTACGCCTGGTGTCGACCCGGCCATGGTGAGAGGATGACAACGGTAGCATGGCGCGGGGGCGTAGCCAAACGATTATACAAGTCGTCTTTCAAAGACCGAAACAAAGAGCAACAACAACAGAGATAAAAACAAAAAACAACCTCAACCTGTACAAAACAAGAAAACGCCATGAAGCAGCACGCACCTTAGTCACGGAGCCCCCGCAAAGAGCAAAAATGGCATCCTCCACTTCCTTTGCCTTCGAAGCCGGGAGCGTTGCCGACGTTTCCAAAGCCGTAAACACACGTTCCCGGACAACCTGCCGTCAAATGTCGAGTCACCGAAGGCAGCTCAGGAAGGAGAGCGCACAGCTAGCAGCGGTGGCGAAGTATCGATGTTTGGTGGTGTCTACATGTCGACTGCAACTCAAGAAATATAATACTAGTCGGTGGCCACCATATAGCCAAGAAAAACCCCGCGAATCTACTTGACTGGTACCGCACTATGCATCACATGCGGTCAGAATGCCTGCGATCGTTGCTTGCAGTCTCACCTTGACCCGATACTCCTCTATCCGCTTCGACACACAGCGAGGAAGAGATGCAAACCCAGCGACTTTTTCGACGATTTCCTGCACCAGCATCAGCAAAAAGCACCGCCACAGGTTGATTGAACAGCCCGCAGAGCACGGCAAATGCACGATCCCGGGGTTGTCACGACAACATCCACGCACGTGGGGCCAGCAGCAGCGGTAGCTACCAGCAGCATATCCCGAGACAGGCTACGTATGCATGCCACACGAAGCAACCCTTATGCTTGCAACTGTACAAGTACGGTGCCAAGCCGAAAAAAAATGCCAAGGGCGCCTATGCCAGCCGACAAGTAGATGGCCAACTCCCACCAGCGGCCAATACGAACATCGATCGTAGAACCGCGGCACTTCCTCGATAGAACATGGTGCACTCCTTGTACAAGACGAAACAAAAGCACCAGAAATGGTTTGATTTCGGCTTCAAATATCTGTAACTCACGTCCGGGAAATCGTTGATTCGAAGGCCCTCCCCTTCGCCAAGGCCTCCGGGGGGCCATGCGCCTTGCGTCGCCCCCCGTACGCTCCCCTTTCCCCTCGGCCGTCCTGGCCCCGCCATCGTTCCGAGCCCCATGCCTCTTCTTTTACTGCCCCTTATCTCTTTCTTGGCAATCTGCGGCGGTGTTCCACCGTTGGCTCCATCCCCCTGGATTGCGGCTTCATCATCATCGTCATCAGTGTAGGGGCTATGACAGACCACACCGCAGTTGGGAGGCCTGGAAGCGCCACCAGCACCAGCACCAGCCGCGAGTGCACCAACTCCTGTCGCAGAAGCAGCGGCACCGCCCCCGCTGCTGCTGCTGCCGCCGCCGCTGGCACCGCCCCCGCTGCAACCCCCGGTGTCAAAAATGCTGCCGCTACCGGAACCGCTACAGATTATGCTGCTAACGCGCCTACCATCGTCCCCGTCGCTAGGGACTTGCATCCCCGGTAGCGGAGGATTCCGACGCCATTCCGCCTCCTTGAAGGAAGCGATGCATCAGAATGAGACGGCAGGGGCGCCATGGAGAGAAATGTGACAGGGGCATAAAAGCAAAAATTGCGTCGGCATCGGTTGCCAACAATTGTGGAAGATAGCGGCGCTGACGCCCGACGCAGAGCGAAGCGAAACGCTTTCAATATCAAAGGAGGCGCGCCAGAACCGAATCGAAATCTCGCTGAAAAACATCACCGACATTCTTCGCCGAAAAATATTAGTAGCTTACCTGCAGTGCCCTGGCCACTTGCTCATCGCCGTCGCCTCCGCTCATGGGCGGCTGCATCTCCGCCGGCTCCTCCGCCTGCTCGTCTTCTGAGGATGCGCCGTCGAGTTCCCTCACGAAGTCGTCGAGAAAGCCGTCGTCCCTGTCACTGTGTGCTTCTTCTTGTTGCTCCTCCTCCTCCTCCTCCTCCTCCTCTTCCTCCTCTTCGTGCCGCCGCCGCAGCTGCTCTACAAAACTCCTGTTCGCATCCATCCCTTCCTCCACTCTGTGATTTTCCCGCTGTTGCTGGTGCTGTTGTTTCTGTTGCAAGTGCTGTTTGCCCTTACCGTGGCTAGTGCCGCCGCTGCCGCCGCCGCCGCTGCTGCTGCCGCTGCTGCTGCTGCCGCTGCTGCTGCTGGCGGTGGAACTGGTGGTGCCGGCTTCTGTCCGGTCTTCCGCTCCACAAGCATCACGGCCTGGTTCAAGAATCGTTCCACGATTCGCAGAAGATGATGGCACCATGCCACACGGGCGAGGCTCGGCGACGCCACCGGTGCTGCTGACGCAACTTCGGACAGCTCCGTCATCTTCCATATCTCGCGGGGCTAGCGAGCATCACGCAAGGTCAAAGCGGGCAGAGATGGTTCAGTGCTGCATGTCGTCGGAAAAAAAAACATAGCATAAAACAACACACGGAAATATGCCCCCCCGTTTAGGCGACCGTTGCGAACTCGGAGTACATCAAGTATCGATCATCATTAGTACTTGCGCTAGCGGGCGGCGTAAACCCCTCTAGTTCTGTGATACAGCGGCGGTAGTACAGGCTGCCACATTTCAGGAATAGAGGTCTCGCTCTGCTAATTTGCTATATAAGTGCTAACTTGCCTTGGTATCAAATTGGTATCTATGTACATCTCTGTATCAAAAACATATGTTGTGCGGACCCAAGAAAAGAGATTGTTGGGTACTTGCAACACGTGTGCTGCTCGGAGTCGCGACCAAATAACAATGCTCCACAATCCAGTAGCAGCTACCAGAGCAGCGCGTCCACAGAAAGCCGGGCACCAGCACGCCGGTGTAAGAGTAGTACGCGCACTGAGACAAAATTGGTTGTTCAGGACATCGGAGGCGGGACTGTCAACAACGGCTCGCGAAAAAAAAAAAATCGAAGCCTCGGCTCGGGCTCCCCTCCTCGACACACTTTTTATTGAAGTCGGTCAACACTCGACGATCCTCAGTCGGGCTGCGCTCCTAGAGGGGAAATCGACTCACACCTTTGTCTGTGCTGGACGTGATAGCTCTCTAGCAGGTCTCTAGCAGTCCACGCCACCTCGTGATCGCCCTCACCCGTTCCGTCTGTGCAGCAGAGCGGCAAAGGAGCAAAAAAAAACGGACCAATCAGCTGGGGTCACGAATACGAAAACCAGGGTGTTCCCCAGCCCCCCAAGGACCTGAAAAAGCGTGCTGAATGCTAGACCTACAAAATATGCACGCTCAGACCCACCTGCGCCGTGTTGCCTCCACGCTACGCTACGCTACCGCTCCGCCACGCTTCCCTTCTTCCACCCTGCGTAAGCTTACTCCGGGGCTCCGTACACGCACATTGTGTAGTGAACCCCCCCCGCATATCCACAGCAGCGAGGCCTCTTTCCACCTCTGACTTGACCCAACCCAAGCACACAGCCCAGGCTGAAGCTAGTGGGCCTTCTCTGTGTGGCTCCAAGGGTGGCAAGAGTAGAACAACAGCACATTGGAAGGGTCTTGAAGGTGGGTAACAAGCTGTGTTGTGCTTGGGGTTGAAGCAAAAAGAAAATTCTGTCCCCGTTGTCCTTACGCCAAGACCAAAGGCGGAGATCTTGGCACGACCAGGGAGGAGCTTTGCAGCGTACCGGGGTAGCCGAGCAGCAAAGACTAGAGTGTTGCGTAGGCTAGTAGCAGTAGCTTCTGCACCACACCTAGATTATCCACGTGTTGACCGCTGCCATTTGATTGCGCTGCCTCGGCTCGTGGGTACCCAGTGGTAACGACCGCTCTTGTTTGCTGGGAAATCAGCGTGGCGTCTTTGGTTCGCCGCCCTCCGCAAGAGTGCGTGTGGGAACACCGCCTTGCGGAGCACGACCGAAAGCGTTGGAGTCGCTAGACGGGTTTGGCGCCACGCAGCAGTTACGGCGTCTAGGCGAAGAAGCACTTGCTGCGTGTGTCAAGATGACAGCAGTGTAGTCCTTGCTACAGAAGTACGCTTGATGCCACAACGTACCACACGTCAGCATCGCGCTTGCTACAGTAGCGCAGTCTCAGTCTTTGCCTTGAGTCTACATGTGATGCTGCCCTATCTACAAAGCAGTGCAGCAGTAGCATCGTATATACGATCTTGTTGGCACCGTACCTACACACAGAAGCAGCTTCGTGTTTCGTGTTAAGTTGTCGCGCACGGCCCGCGGTTGCCCACCTCGGCAGACTGTTGATAAAGACGCGGCACAATCGCGTTTCCCTTGGCGACAACGGCTCTATTTCGATCGACCAAACTCCCTGCTGGTCATCATGTTGGTTCCATCAAGCTGTTAGGCCTGGAGGCTGTGCCACATGGGCTGCTGCTGCCCTTCTGGTGCGTGCAGTACTGCCCTTGCTTATGTCGCCTCCTCCTTACAGTGAATTACTGTAAGTTTTCCAGCCCTCCTCTTGTGGTCGTCTCGTCTTGCGGTCCTGCTGTGAAGGCCATCGCCGCTCAGATTTCCAAACAAGCGGGCAAGCAGGGGACACAGGAGCAGCAAAGCAGGCTACCGCAACCACCGGCATATAGATCGCGTGCCGATGGCGGCGGTGGAGGCAAAGCTCGCCAGCATCTCGGGTATCGGGGACCAGAGAGAGCGGACGGCCCGGTACGATTCGTGTGCCATGATCGTTTTCGTTTGGGTGGGTGCGATCGCGTGCCTCCTCCCATGTTGATGTAATTCGCTGCTCGTACTACCAATTATAGTGTCCACATCCGCCCGGAGAAGCAAGCCCTGTGTTGTCCCCTGCATGGGGCACTCGGCGGGTGCCTGCTTGATGTATGAGGTTGAGCAATGCAGGGCGTGTCGAAACCTTACAAACGAAGGTGCCCACATCTTGTGATTTCTACTTACTGGCCAATTCAGCCTGGCGGCCATTAAGACCGGCACCCCGGCGAAGGACCGCCGACGCAGGATTTTGAGAGTATCTAGACAAAGACTACTGAGTTCATCTGGCTTACCTACCCCTTCTTGAGCAGGCCGTCTACGTCACCGGTCAAACCTCATCGATACCGTGAAGCGTGTGCGTCACCCACGGAGACTCATCTTCGGCCCGACTCTTTCCGGCATTCCTCGGGGTTTTTTTTTATACACTTCTACAATGGTATGTTTTTTTCAGGTATAAAGCACTCGGGGAGGAGCTGGCGGCTGGAGGGCGCATCGACGATGTTCAGGCCATGTTCCGACACCGTGAGTTTGCTGCTGCGGTAGCTGCTGAGAATTGCTTGTTCCCTGCAGTCGGATGCCTTTGGCGAAGACTCTTCACACTGCTGCCATCGAGAGGAGCTCTACATGAAATCGTCTTGCCCGCCTTCTTCGACCTCTTGAAATTGAAGCTTTTCTTGCAGGAGTCGCAGCCTGCGTTCAGACCATGCAGTCGGCGCCAACGCGCCCGTTGTTTTCCTGGGCCTTTTTTTCACTCCGTGGCAATGTCTCCGCTTTGACCGCTAGGTTTCCGGGAGAGAGAGCCAATGCGAGAACGCCAACCAGCCTATTTTACTCTTGGTCTCGCGCTTGGCCGCATATGTGCCTGTGTCTCTTTTCTTGGTCCGTGTTTTGCGCGAACACGATCGATGCCCGCTCCCCCTCTCGGGCACCGGAGTTGCGACAATTTTTGCGCGTGGAGTTTGATGGTTTGCATGTCTTCGTTCTGCGGCAACTTACCTCCCCGGGTGTTGTACGCTTCCTTTCTCTCCTGCCCGGTACAGTAGTGGACCCTGCGTAGTGCCGGTCAAATCGTGCCGGGTGCGGGTATGGTGCCGGTGTTTTCGGCTCGCCACACTAAAAACAAGTCGTTCTATACTTTGAATAGTGCCGTAGTGCCGGTATAGTCTCTGGACACACACTGGCACTATACAGGGCCCCGCTAAAATACATGTGCCGTAAGGTTGTGAGTCAGGGCACAGGGGTCGAACGATTTTCGAAGCGTAATTTCTCCACAACCAGGAGGTTAGAATACCACTGCTGCTGTCGAAAAGGGAGGTTTTGGAAATATGTCATCGAGAGCTTTCCTGACAAGTATCAGTTGGCGCTCGCACCCTCCTGGTTGTGGAGAATTTACGCTTTGAAAATCGATCGCACTCCTTGTGCGCTGACTCGAAACCTTACGGTAGTCTGACTGGGTAGTTTTTTGTTTCCTGAAGTGCACCCGCCTCTCACCTCTCCATGTCCGGTGTTGGCTTCCTTTTTTGTTTTTTCACTTATTGTTGTGTGCTTGGATCCCCCCCTCTGTTGTTTTTTAAGTGCTGGGCAGCGGGGTGCCTCCAGTGGTGTCCCGGCAGTGCTGCGCCCATCTCGCCAAGGAGGCGTGTTCGTTTGCGGATACCAACCCGGAAGGTTTCGAGGCGCTTTGTCACTTCTGCCTAGAAAAGATGCAGGAACAGGTGCGTTTGAGTAGCCACTGTGCCGTCCAACGTGTATGAATCTATCCTGTTTTCGTTTCGCGGTATGGTTCCCCACGTATTTCGCGGAACCTGTTGTTCTCGACTGCTACGTCATTTTTCCAAATTCAGAACGGCACGTGCGTGATTCCACGGAAGAAGTGGTTAGGCGTCCTAGGAATAAGGAAGAAAGGATTGGGTCCCCCCCCCCCCGGTGTTTGTCATCGGGGTTGGGTTTTAATCGTTTGGCAACGACGTTGTAAAACAAGCCCCCCCCTCGGTGTTTGCCATCGGGATTGGGTTTTCGTCGCTTGGCAACGACGTTGTAAAACAAGCCAATTCACTTCGTGAACTCGGCAACCAGGTTACCGTTTTTTTTTTTTTTACCTCGTTTTTTTTTTTTGGCGGTAACCCTAATGGTGGTCGAGTAGATCATGTTGTGCGGGGTCGAGAAACCTCACTCCGCGCAACGGGGGATGATCGTGCCACGTTGTGTTAAAATGGTCAAGCTTCCTCGAGGCAGTTACACAGTGCTTACAACTGTCTCTGGAAGTGAAAGCACCAGAAAATAAATTATGTCATACGTAGCTGTCATCCGTACGCAAGGAAGTAAGCTTAAGATGCCGAACACCCTTAGCAGGATGCAGCTCACCCTTCATGCGACTCGCCAAATACCTCACGGCGCTTCGCGCTTGGTGATGTGAGAGCCTGGTCCGGTGAGAACCCGGCGTGCTCCGTCCCGGCTTTGTAGGGATGCGAGGTCAATGGTCAAACGACTACGGCATGCACGACTATGAGTACACCCCCCCCCCCCCCCTCGATCAATTTGGGCGGAATCACCGTGAAAAAGCCCGGTGTGCATGATTCGTCGGAGTATGTGCTCCGCCATCGTCTGTTCGAGGAGCTGCTCAAGAAGGAGGAATTCATGGAGGCAGCCAACTGCCTGGGCAAACTCAACCTCGACGCCACGGGGGGCGGAAAGGTATTTTTTTCGTGCCCAACCTTTTCAATGGCCTACCGATTATGTTATGCACGGCTGTGAGTACTTCCCCCCCCCGCGCCAACCTTGCGTGAAAGTACAGTAGATATTTTGGCCACGAAAAGCATGGCTAGCAGCGAAGCTCGACGCTGTGCAGATGAGGGAATGTATTTTCGTGCCGAACCGAGTAGCTGACGTTTTTTATCCCGTGTAGGGTAGAGGTTTTCGTATGTCCCGTCGGTCTCTTGGCAGGCATGGTCAGAGGTCGTCCGTACCAGTTTCCTGGAAACAATTCAGGATCGAATCTCTCTTTTTTTTGTTTTTGGTGTGCCGAACATATGTTTTTGCTTCAGTTTTGGACGGGATATGTAGGGCTTTGCGAAATTTCTGCCTTCTTTTTGCCCATGCATGCCCTCACGGCTTCGGCCGATCTGTGTCTCAGAGACGATCCGGGTTAGCAACCGTCCGCACAGGGCTACTCGCACGCTCAGAGCGCCATGCTTGCAGCGATCGTGTTTCTTTGGCTCGCTCGTGTTTCCTCTCAGCGTCTGTCCACCGGCATGCTTCAACCTTCAGAAATGCTGTGAGAAAAAGAGTTGAATTTTGCGAGACGGAAAAATGTATGAAATCGTCCCGCTTCGGTGCTGTAACCGTCCGTATGATGCCAGGGCTACACGGACGCGCAGAAGGCCGAGGTGTGGGTGAAGGTAGCGGAGGCGTACCTGGAGAGCGATGAAACCGACGCGGCCGACAACTTCTGCAGCAAGGCGAGAGAAAGAGACGCAAGAAGAACCAGGACCATGGTGTTCTTCATCCCGTCACCGACACAACGGGTGTTTAACAGCAGTGTGGTCACCGACATGAAATATGTAGCGTGTCGCATGTGCATTCGAGAGTAGCACAGTGGCTCTCGCGCTTACCCAGGGAAGCAGGCCGCGGCCACATTCCTCTCTACAGCAGTAGTTCCTACTGTTATTTAGTTTAAGGTGCCAGTGATCGTGTTTGTTTTTTGTCGATCAGGCAGCAAGGCGAGGGAAGTTTCGGAGCAGAATCATGGTGTTGTTTGTTTAGTGTACTTCTTAGGATGCCGGTGATTTGCGTTTTTTTTTTTGTCGATTGGCGACAAGGCGAGAGAAGAGAGAGTCCGTCAGGCAGAAACGATGGCGTTTGTTTTGTGTTGACGTATACAATGCCGGTGACCTCGTGGTATTTTTCAACAGAGGTTGCCGTTTTTTTCGGGTTTCATGACGAGATAGGGCAGGGAATGACTAAGAATACGAAATGAGCCCTCGCAGCCACAGCATGGTCAATGATTAGGCCACCTGCTGCTGCTGCGCATTTCGTCGGTGCGTAGCCACTCATTTCGGAACCATTTCTTGACCTACCTTTTCTTTTCAAGTCCTCGCGGTCACGGGTGTGCTATGACGCATTTTTTTTACTCGACGGGGGCATTGTACGAAATTGGCCAGTACACGTGTTTGTGTTGCTCTCTTTTTTTGTTGTTTCCTGACTGGTGAACATGGGTGACGCGAATCTTCGCGTTTTTTGTTGTCGTTTGGCGTGTGCCTTGCTATGTGCGCGTACTCTGTACGCACCATCTTGATCGTTGACGTTACTGCCCCACGTCGGTCGCTACTGTGGATAGCAGTTGGAGACTCGAAATGACTAGTGCACCAAGCAGGCGACCTTATCGAGTCGCACCGACATCCGTCAACGTTGACCGCAGAAGAGGCTTTTACGCTTCTCCCCGCCCTCCCCCCCCACTTCGTGTGGTTCGGTGGTCCACGGGGTTTACCAGATTTGTGTTTTTCGAGACGATAGCAAAACCCAAAGACCCATTCACTTCGAAGAATATGACGACTTTTTCATACTGTCGGTAAGGACTTTCCACCTAGAAACCAAGAGATTCACACGCCCCCCCCCCCCCCCTGCCACCGTTCTCACACACGCAGGCGTCAGCCACGATGCAGGAGGTGACGGACTGGGCCCTACAGATGCGCTACCGCACGACGGCCGCGCGCATCCTTGACGCCCACAGAAAATTCCTGGATGCTTCCGTGCGGTTTTACGAGCTCAGCCTGGCGCAGGTATGTTGGACGGTTGGACGGATGGCAGATGCATGTATCACCATTGATGGTTGCGGCGAACGGTTTCTTTTTGGAGTCACCTGCAATTCGTTGCTGGTTGGGTTGCGTGTGTGTGTTTTGTGCTTGGTGCTGTGGCTGCAGCCCTACCTGCTCGGGGGATTTGACGTGGCGGTCTGTGTGCCCCTCCGTCGTGCTTGTTCCTTCGCAACCCCCACCCAATCCCCCGCAGAGGTTTCTGTTTTTCACACACATGCACACCCCTAGCTCCTCGAAACCCCGGCATATCGCTCCGTCCCGGCGTTGTAGGAATGCGAGGTGAATGGTCTAACGACTACTACAGCATGCGTTGTATTGAATATGTGACTCCCCCCCCGTTGTTCGGTGCCTAATTTCCGCTCTCTTTTTTGGACCCTCCCTTCCATCTTCTATTCTCCGCACCCCCCTCCTGGTCACTCGTGTCGAAACAGTCCAAGGGGCTCGAAGTCGACCCTGACGACCTCCTGCAGCTGCTGGGGAAGGCCATAACCTGCGCGGTGCTGGGCAAGGCCGGCCCGCAGAGGTCTCGCCAGATGGGCGTGCTCCTGAGAGACGAGCGCGTCGGGAGCCTGGCGAGGGTGCCTGGCTTCAGCACCCACTCGCAGGTAGAGGTTGCTGTCTGGCTGTCTGTTTGTAGGCGGGTAACTTAGGCTTATTTGGGTGTTTTTGGTGTCATGGCTGCCTGTAGGCGGACCGCTTGTTTTGGTGCTGGTTATCGTAGGAGAATAGGTCATACCCCCCGGATTGAAGGTAGTTCGGATTCTGCGGAGCCCCCCTGGGTGAGCCGAGAGAATGACGGTGATGATTGCAGCACGGGCCATGCCCCCGTTAAGAAGGCTGTGCGGACACTGCGGAACCCCCCCGGGGGTATTTAAGCCGAGAGGAAGGCCCGGGCTTGCTGCCCGTTTTGTTGGCACACCTTGTACGCAATCCGGTATGTCGTTTCCTCCTCCCTCGTGTGCTCTCCCTCGCTCCCTTACCCCTGTCTTCCTCGCGGTGCACCTGTCCTCTGACTACCCCCCCCCCCGCTCATGCTTGTCTGCGTTGCCTCGTCTCTCGTTGGCGGCGTGAACAGGTCCTGACGAAGATGTACACGGAGCAGATCTTGAGGAAGCACGACATGGAAGCGTTCGAGGAGGTACTGTATGCACACCATGTGCTACGAAGCTCTTGTGAACACCTCAACTGGCTGTCGCTCGTTCTTTTTTCCACATGGTTGCCAAGGGTTGTTCTTGGCGTGAGGGTGGTCTCGAGGCGAACTAACAGGTGTACACAATGTTGTGTGGAAACTGCTAGTACGTACGGCAGCTTCTTGACCGCTGTGTGCGTTTTTGCAAGCGCGGAACTGAACCGCGTAACCGCGTCATCTGCGTCTGCTCTCTGCTCACTCGTCACCTGCGCGCCTTTTCTCCGTGCTTTGCCTTGTTATCTCCCTTGTTTTGTTTGTACCATTTGTCGCCTGGTGTGCTTCTCCTGCATGCATCTGCTCTCGGCGTTTCTTGGGGGGGCGGGGGTTCTGTGTCCACCATCTGTTGGTGTCTTGGGGTTGCAACCAACCAGTCCCTGATGGACCATCAGAAGGCCATCACCGCAGAGGGCCTCCCGATACCGGTATGTCGCCTCTTTGGTGTTGGCGGAATGGTGTGTGATCTTGTTGCCTTCACCGTGGGTCTGCCGTACCGTTGTTGTTGGTGATGTCATCTCGTCGCTAGTGGTGGTGGTGTGAAATCATGTCATCGTCGTTGGTGTCGTCGTTTTGGCGTTGACAGCAGTGTCGTGCGTGGCATTGCTGCGGTCTTGCTTGATTTAGGTTCGTACGATATCAAGACTATTTTATGTTCATCTACCACCCTAAACTGAGATCTTCTTGTATTCGTGTTGGCCATGATTTGGCTGGTGTTGTTGTTCTTTTTTTGTACTGGTCGCGTCGGTTGCTTTCGCTTGGATCCACATAGCCGCTGCCCTTTTTCCTGCTTGTTTGCTTGGCACCTCTTCTCCCCACCCTTCGTGTCTTTCCTCTACGTCGTCCCTACCCTTTGGAAAACTCTTTTTTATTTGCGTCCTATAGGAGAGAGCGGTAATGGAGCACAACATGGTAGCTTCCACCCGGATCTACGAGAACGTGAGCTTCAAGGAGCTGGGCACGCTGCTTCAGATTCCTTGCGAGCAGGTGAGACAAAACATGAAATGCAACATTGTGCGAGAAAGGGGCTAACATGTGCAATGTCTTCACATGCGGCCTGACTTAGATTCGACGACTTTTGGAGGAGGCCCCTGCAGCTATGAGCAAGCCGTGTACGCGTGGGGGCGACGCATTTCTCGCTGCCTGTCGAGGAGCAAAAGTAATGGTGGAAGTCATGGAGTTTGAAAACGGTCCCCATGTCCGGGATGTCCGGAGATGGAATCAATCAACGTATCTTCTCAGTCTATGTGCTCCCCCATTTATTGTCTCTGTTTAGGCGGAGCGGGTGGCGGCGAGGATGATCACAGAGGGGAGGCTTCGTGGCACGATAGACCAGGTTGAGGGCCTCCTGCAATTCGAGGGAGGTACGCCACATGGGATATACGGTTGTGTGTATGTCTATGTTTTTTTTTTTGGGGTCTGGTGGCAAGAGGTAGCAAGGTGTCTGTCTGTTCTGTCCCCGTGTTTCTTTCATTGTTGGCTGCCACCGAGGCAAGCGGCATCAGTCGCTTGTTGTTGTTGTATCGTAGTCGTCTTTGCTCTCACTGTTTTTTTTGTGTGTGCAGTTGTTTCCCCCCCACAAGTAGCAGACGTGTTGCAGGGCACGTGCTTTTTGGCCAGTGCTTAGGTCGGTGCTTGCTGCTTCCGAAAACTATGAATTGGGCGAGCTTCTGAGACTAAAGGTGCCTTGCTGTTTGTGTTTACCGACGATAGTCCTGACGGACGTCATCGCTAGGGTGATTTCGAGGTAGTGACTGAAAAACATGAATCGCGTTCTTTGAGTTGATACTTGCACAGTACGGTGGTATTTAGTTTCAGGGAGATGTGCAGCCACGGCCGGACTGTTGACCGTCGCTTTGTCGTCGTCTGCTGGTGGTGCTGTTGTTGTTTAGAATCGGTTTGGTTTCGGCCTCGCTGTGAACCTGAGGAAGGCCCTGTTGAGTTTTTTCGTCTGACCGATGCAGCACCTGTGTCTGTGTGCATACGTACCTACATACACTTGGAGTTATTTTCTTCTTTTGTTTAGACACCGGTCTTTCCTGTGTTGTTCCGCTGGGTTTCGTTGTTAGGCGGTAGACAACGTGGCACTTGCGGCATTCTTGGATTTCTGCATCTCCGCTTCTCTTCGCGATGGTGGTCCGCACCCATGTCCTCCTACCTAAAAGTGGTCTGCTTCGCGCGTGTTGCCGACTTCTGTGCACCTTCTCCTTGTGCGCCGCGCGTGCGCCATGTGCGTGAAGACCATGATGAGTTGCAGAACTGGGACGAGCGGGTCAACATTCTGTGCCAAAAGTGAGTTTTTTTCCCGGTTTTTGGCGGGCCATTCAGCATGGGTCTACAGATTCGTTTTTTAGTCGGCCATGGGATCTTGCCTGGAAGTGAGGTCGACGTTGTATGTTTTTTGCGCTGTTCATGTGCGCGGGTGTTCATCTTGTTGTGCAATCGTGGGTTTCGTTGATGTGGCGCATCTTAGCTTGTTGTTTCGTGTCTTTTGCGTTCGTGTGCATGCGTACTTCATCAGAAAGGGGTGTTATGCTTTTGCAGATGCCTCGTCAGACCTTTTTATTCTCTGCAGCGTCAAGTTTCTCCCTTACCACCCACATGAAGCCCACTAAGACTCAGATCTCCCCCCCCTTCCCTTTCGTTTGGTTAGGGTCAACAACTGCTGCGAGACCATCGGAAACCGGTTCCCGCACGTTCTCGAGCCCGCCGCCGCATCTCCAGCTGCAGATGCCCCTTCGGCCTCGGCCGCATCGCCGCAGCTGGTTGCATAGTCATGGCTAGCACGGGTTTTTGTTGTGATGAACCTCCCACGTGTGTGTTGGTCGCGGTACGGTTCGATTCTCCCGAAAACACGAGTTCGTTCGTCGTCGGTGGAGCAGATGCCAACTACTTGGGAGTTGCTTGTACGCTGGGGTGGAGGTGTCGGTTCTGGACTCTCTTCGTTTAGGCGCGGAAGATTGTTTCGAAACAGTGGAGGTTCGTGTGTTCCACGAAGCGCCGTCTGTTCTCAGCTGCAGTGGATCAGATTTCAGTGGAGCCGTAGAGTATGCTGGACTACCTCGCCCGGATCCCGCGAGATTTCGTAGAAGAACAAGGCGCCAAGCACCAACTCATGCACTCTGACAGCGCCGAGGGCACCCGAGAGGAGGACGAAGAATAGAAGAGCTGTTGATGGCACGAGCTACAGCACTTGGCCACCTGCATCATGCTGCAGCATGGCGGCCGGTCGGCTTGTCAACCCACGTGACACGGGTGGGTTCAAGCTGGTTCATACCCTGAAGCGCACGGCATAGGTCGGCCAACTCCGTCAATCCTCCATTTTACAGGCCACTTACTGGCTTGTAATTGTCGCGCGTAGCGTTGTGAGCATGTCGGACATTGTTCCAGCAACCACATTCCCAGAGCATGTACCGCGAGACTTCTTTCTGAGGTCAGCCTTGAGCGTAACATGACGTAATTTCCATTCGGGCTGCAGCAGCGTGTGCATGTGGGAAGAACGGGCCGCACGCCCCTCGGGCGGCCGTCCGTGGTTCCAATAAGTGAAGAATCCGTTCGATGTCGAACCAAGGATTTTACAATCGTTCTTAGCGTATCCCGCGTCATCATCATCTTATTTCATCAATGGGACGTACTACTCAGAACACCGCGCTACGGCTGCTCTGAAGACGAGAAACAATTGAAGCCTTTTTTTGCTGGAATGTTGGCGCCCCCACACCGTTGCCATCTTCGACAGCGTTGAATGAAGCACTGCGATGAAGGGTGTGAAGTGTCCAAGACGGAGTCAACTGGCTCGTCAAATTAAACAAAAAAACACTGGCCTTCCACTGCTTGTGAATACAGTCTGACGTGTGGGGAAATCATACTGCAGGTCTGAAGCTGCGTGTGATCCGTGAGGGGTTGCGAGGTCAACGGTGCACCAACACCACAGGCAGGGAGCAAGAACACGCGCTCGCAGATTTCCAATTGGTCCGTTCTTGGTCCTTCTCACAAAATGTGCTCGATCGATACCTGAAATAGTCAGCAATCGCCCTCAAGCATCACATGCACAATTGTTCTTCACCATTAGCTTACCCCGTAACGCCTCCAATCCGCCACGAGACCAATAACATGGAGCACCATGTGGTACAGGATTCGAATTCAGACCCCAAGGGAAGTGCAACCTCTTGCCAGGGATGCTGCGCCCTGACATCAAAACGATTAGTAGTGAACTCTTCCTAAAAATTAGAAATGTCCACCCCGAGTGACTACAATCCAATCAAGGCATTTCAACCCCCCCGAAAAAAATCACGGAGGAACCCAAACGTCGAGAACGTGTCCTTCCCCAGCGTGGAGGTTTCACATTTTCAGGCCGTTTCATTGCCCAAGCTTGAACCCTGAATGAATATTTTCCCTTGCTCCATCATACAATCGCGGAAATTGCGAAAGCCTAGACTCCGAAGCACACAATCGTTTACTCCCCCCCCCCCCCACTTGGATTTCACAATATTCTCAAGCCTTTTCATCGTCCAAACATGAACCCTCAGTGGACATATTTCCCTCACACCAACAAATGGCATGAACCTTCTATAATAGGAAATTCCTGGAGCTGGCAAGACTTGTGAATGAATGCCGGCACGCCAGTTTCTCCGCAGAGCACAATTTTGCCCCCGTTTAACTCCCACGAGCCCGGCACGGACACAGCAAGGTTTTCCTGAAGCGGGCGCTTGGTCCGCGTACAGGTTGGGGTCACCTTCTAGTCTAACTCAATATTGACAGCGCAACCTCACGCGTGCAACACATGTCGGAAAATGTAAACGTCGCGTTCTCGCGAGGCCACTCATGCCCTACCTTCAACCTGCAGTATTTTCATGTCCTGTCCCACTTTCGTTTCCCTTCAAATTGGTTTCCACTCAAATTGAAATAGGTTGGCCGGCATGGACGGGAATTCAGGGCCCCGCACCAACCACCTGGTCGGGAATGAACCAAACGTTCCCATGTTTTGCTATGCACTCCCGTCACGTTTTACAGCTCCCGCAGAGGCCTCTTGACGCACCTACCCCCAACAATCAATTTTGGTCGAATTCCTTCCGACATGCCACACAGTGAATATCGTTTCCCGCTGCTGTGGTGTGCATCGTGTAGTATATTTTCCACGCGGTGGGCGCATGAAACAAACGCAGCCTCCTTCTAGTCACAATGGGCTTGATGCTGTAGCGGTGTGCGCATGAAACACAGCCTCTTTCTAGCCAACTTGTTTGATGATCTTCCGACGGCTGGACGTGCATCCCCCCCCCCCGCGCACCTCTGTGCCTTAGCTTTCTCTCTCATCTCAAAGCTTGGCGTGTTCATGACGGGGAGGCTCATACTCAATCTTTTCAAAAGACATCACTCACTGGCGCTGCCGGGTAAGGCATCAAATATTGTCGGCAGGGTTGGAACGCGTCACGTGCAAATCACGAACCGTAGTTGCTTCAGCTGCCGTGCGGTCGATGCAAGTGAATCCTTCACGGATCATGTCCCCCCTCCCACCCACCATTTGAAGCTGTACCTCGACAAAATCGGTCGATCTACGACCTTCAGAACAAGTCGTCACCCACGGCGCTGCTGCCGCGGGGCCATATTTCGATAATGCCTTGGCACCCCAAAATCGCGAAGAACCTGATTTCTGAAACCCCCCTCCCCCAATCGCGCGTCCGACCATCAGAACATGCGACCGTCCCTCCCTCCCGTCGCGTCTGCCCGCGCGGTGCCCCATCTTCGATCACCGCCATCACCGGCATCCAAAAGCTCAGAAGAAGCGGCCGTCTGCGCAAAATTCACAACCCCCCCCCCCCTCCCAATCGCACTTACGCGGTGCCCCTTCCGAAAAATCAGAACACCCGCTCGTCGCTATCTTCTGCCCCCGTTGCTGCGCCCCATCTCCGATCACCGGCATCCCAAAACGCACCAGAACCGGTCGCCGCTGCCGCCGCCGGCGTGAATTTCGCCCCGCCGAATGGGACGGCGTTACCCCCCTGTCCACCACCAATCCCGTCTGCGCCGCCCCCGATGATTGCGGCAGAAGAAGTAGAACCTCCTAGCAGCTCTCTGGCTAGAGCGTCGCCGTTGCCGGTCAGCTGAGTGAATCCGCGCGGCCCCCCTGGGTGAAGAAGACCCTCCCCTCTAGCTGCGCGGCCGGGCCGTTGCTGCAGAAGGAGCTGCCGTAGGACCGTGGAAAGCACAGCAACGCTGCGTGCCATCCGACACGGAAAAAGTATCACGAAAAACGAGAGAGGTAATAGGTTTGTGAGGGTCTGCACATCCTGATTGTTGTTTCAACGGTCTCTATACAATGTATTCCTGGTGTTTTCTCCTAGGCTCGTCGTCATTGGCGTAGATTTCGTGACGGGACAGGGGAGCGGAGGATGTGAAAATAGTTCGGTCGGGGAGAGGAGAACAAGAGGGTTTAGGAAATGGTGAGCGCGGTGCGTGAGACACGCCAAGGTGTGTGAATGAGGTTTCGTGTCAGTCAAGGAAAACCCAGTTCGTGTGAGATATCGCAAGTCTGGCAATAGGTGGGAGGCACAAAGCGTGCCAGAGAGAGAAAGAGAAAGTGCCCGCAGGTTTCTGATTGGCCAGGGGACATTGGCCTATCAAAAAGTTCCCTTCAAACAATTTGGCCAATCAGGAAAGTGTGGGCACCTTTTCTCTGTCTCTTAAGAGAAAATGTGCTCGCAGTTTTCTGATTGGTCAGTCTCCTTGAAAGGAAATTGCCCTGTGTTCGAATGTCCATGGTCGACCGGTGACGCCACCCACGGTCGTCAAGTCGCTGCCTTTCGGTGAAATTCAAAATTTCCACATTCGCCGTGGATGACGCTTGATGGCATCATTTATTCACGAGAACCGCCGAGTTCTTTCACTCCAGAGCTGATCATCGATTGGTGGACTTGCTGACCTCCACTGGACCATCGCGTCGAGATAGAGATCATAAGTGTTGGGCATACGCAATAATTGGGTTTACGAGAACTTCCCCCGGCGTGCGGCCATGTCTGCATAGAAGCCAGCGGCGAGACGAGAAGGCCACAACTGGTCGAAACAGTCTTGGTGGGTCACAGTGCAAAAAAAAAACACAACACGCAGCACAATCGATGCTCGCCAAAGCTGGAAAAAGGTTGGGGTAAATTAGTTTGTGATTAAACAGCTACGTGATGCGAGGGTAGGCTGGGATCATGCTCTCTAAGCAGACGGCACCCATCATGACGTACGTCATCCTTACAGAAGTGCCACCTGGCTAAACGACCATTTTCTCACTAGACTAAGGAGTTCTAGACATAAAAGCCGAACACGAACCAATAGCCTAGTCAGCGCTGACTAGTCTACTGATTTGATGTCGGCTTCGAAACAAGATAGTCGTGGGGTCCGAACCAAAATCAAGCCAGCAGAACATCGGGGCTGACTACGCTCTCACGGTCTAGTCAGCCCTGGCTAGTCTACAGAATTTATTTCGGCTTCATCAACAAGTATTATAGTCATGAGGTTCGAACCGACATCCAACCGCTGACCATTCGAATGGTTGATATCGGGTTCTAAAGTTCGTACCTCGATGCGAATCTCCCCGAAACGGCGAGAGGGCCAAGAAGCAGCTCACGGAGCAGACCGGAGCCTGCGGCCATCTTTTTCTTGTGGGGCTTCACCAGGAACACCTGGGCGTCGGTCATTCTTCCCTGGAGGTACTCCATGGCCGTGGTGACCTGTATGGTAGAAAGGATGAGACAGAGAGGAAGCGCCAGAATGAGAGAGGGACAGGAGGAGGGGGAGGGAGAGAGGGGGGGAGGGAAAGAGAGAGCGAGAGAGAGACGTCGAGAGCGAGAGACCAGAGAACGAGCGAGAGAGGGAGAGAAAGAAAGGGAGCGAGAGAGAGAGAGAAAGAGAAAGGCGCAGGTGAAGGGGATGTAAGAGGGAGAGGGAGGGAGAGAGAGAGAGAGAGAGAGAGAAAGAGAGAGAGGGATAGAGAGGGAGAGAGAGAGAGAGGGAGAGAGAGAGAGAAACATAGAGGCGGCAAAGAAAAGAATACAAGAGACATGCACACAACCCAATAGTCCTCCCCGACCCGCCTGTGAAGTAACTTACCCCTCGGGCGACTTCCTTCCCCGGGTCCAACCAGCAACGGAACCTAAACCATCGCAAGGTTCAGGACAGCGTTTTCCGCCATCATCTCCGACGCTTGGTTCTGAACAAAACTAGCCTCGGTCCATCACCTTATCGCAGTTTTTTCACATCACCTTATCGGCGAGGCGCATGTCGACCGCCCTTTGCCCGAGCCAGATCTCCCCGGTCCCCACCGCCTCGATGTCCACCGAAGGCCGATACCTGTGTGCCACCGCCGAGGACCCGCGACGGGCGGGCAGGCAGGCAGGCAGGCAGGCAGGCAGGCAGGCAGGCAGGCAAATGGTGACTTGGGGGGTGTTTAGAGGGTGGAGTGCAGCAAGAGGGAACGGTAAAGGCACGAGGCTACACCGTCCACAACTACGCGTCAAGTGGGGTTACCCTCAATAGTGCCCGTTGGAATAGTAGTGTCATTGCCCAGCAAAAGCGTGGGGGAAAATATCGTGAGGCAAGGATGGAATGTTGAAGTTGTCTCAATTCTCTGAGTTGTACCAGGGGGACGGCATGGTGCCGGTGAAATCTGGCGGCGCACACCGGCGCTGCTGATGGCCCCCAATACGGTGGTCGTGAAAATATGTACGAATGCACACCAACAAGGGAAAGAAAAAGACAAACGCAAGGATACCGACCACAACGTTATCGCTACGTCCATGTCTACCCCGCCGAAACCGTGGCCTCATGTTGCTCACGAGCGACATGTAGAAGTGGAGTGAGTGGGGCTAGTGGAGTGACTCAATGTGGTGGCAAATGATTTCTAGTCGACCACAAGTAGGTTTAAACGTCCGTTGTTATCTAGCGTAGCCAGGGGGGATGGGAAGAGTGACTCACAATGACCACGCAACCAAGTCGATGTACCCGCAAGCCTCCGCCACTCACATAAACCTTCTCTACCGCGTGTGCTTGTACAGGCTTCAAACGGTCAACGGACAGCGAACAGCTTAGAATTCACAAAGTAAAAAGTATGATACCAGAAGCAGCAACGACAACATCCACGGTTACCACCTGAGGTAGGACGCGGGGTACCCTCGTTCGCTCAGCGGCGAAGGACCGCTAACGGCGATTCCGCAGACCTCTCGTCAAACGCCCCACAGCATCCGAAAATGGTCTGTCGGCGACACGGCCGCTGGCGACTAACTACGACAAGAGCTTGGGACCCAAGAACTTCACACTCAAACAAAGCGAACACCAGCAAGAACTTCACCAATCAGAACAGTTGCCCAGCTGAAGACAACTCAAACAGGCCGCTGTTAGGCTAGCTATCCCGTTAGAGGAGACAAGAAACGAGCTTCGTGGAAAATAAAACCTTTTCGAGCGGTGATGCTCTTCACGTGGCACCGTTGACCCCGCCGCGGCTACGATCGACCTCTGCCTCACCTGTGCACGTGGGTCTTGAAGGCGGAGTGGATGGCGTCCATCTGCTTCTGCTGCATGGCCTTGTTCTCCTTCGTCACCTCCTGGAACGGCCCCACCAGCGACTTATGTTGCCCTGCCGCAAGGTTGCGCGGAGAACGAACATGCATACACACGCAAACATATTCCCTCTATCATTATTAGAGCCTTTTTCATTAGTTAGGGCGGTCGATGCTAATTAAAGAAGCGCGCATACGCACACGCGCCGTTTTCCGAGCACTGGAGACAGACTGACGAACTTTGATTGGTCAAGCTGTAAGAGCCATCGATGCCAACCCAGGAAACGCACACACGCATACAAACACACACCGTTTCGTGAGCACCGAGACAGACTGAAGTATTTGAAATTGGTCAACCCGTAAGAGCGGTGTAGTGTTCACACTCGAGAACGTTCCGGTTTCTTCACAGTACCAGTCCAACTCGTCCTCTATGCCAACAGCAAAAGAACCCCGCCTCAGAGCGACAAATTAAGCTAATGACAAAACAAATTAAAGGGAGGGGGGCACGCAGACTGTATCCCTAACCCAAAACGCAACTTCCTCGATTGCAACGCTTAATCTAACATGTTTTCTTCCACAAAAAGTCTCACCGGAGGTGAAGTGGAAGTAGTCGACGCCGTACTTCTTGAGCGCCTTGTTGAAGTTCGTCATGCCCCCGACGACGCCGATCGAGCCGAGCATCGCGAAGGGTGCCGTGGTCAGCTCGTCGGCGATGCAGGCTATCATGTACCCTCCGCTCGCAGCAACCTGCCATGCACGTGCATGCCTTGCGATTATCATCACGTTGGTGATCTGGATTCGTCTCTAATTTTGTGCTGGATCTGATATCTTTTCTGCCGAGATATACACATGCATGCCTTGCGATACCACAACACTTTTGATATGGATTCGTCTCTAGTGTTTCCCGCATGTTTGCCGAGATACAACATGCATGCCTTGCGATATCATAAGACTAGTGATAGGGATTCGTCTCTAACTTTCTGTGCGGAACTAACGTCCATGTCACGTTAAGCGTCACGCGTCAAAACCGTACCGAATGTATGGGAAACCGCGTCATCTCCCATACACCGTGACGTGACCCGATGACCATGTTGCGTGTGGCATGTGCAAAAGCCACGGAAATGAAGAAGAGTGAAACGAACAAAAATAGAGAAAAATTCTGGTCATAAAAAAAAAAGACAGAGACGAAACGTGCCGAGGTGAGTGTACGAAACCGCCCTATATTCGCACCTCTTGCTTGCTGGTGGCGTCCCAGAAAGCACGAAAATTGCCTTGATATTAGAAGACCCCAGATTCCCCGCGTGTTCATGCCACATACAAGTACAACGCAAGGACTACCCCACGTGTTAGTGGTCGTCAGCAGGACAAACAAGCTTCGCCCACCAAGAGAACGCACCGAATCAAGCGCTACAACTAGAATCATCCCGAACCAGTGACGAACGGGGCTCTTCAACAGTCTCCCGAGAAAAAGCTGCACAGAAGCGGCAGCAGCATGAGCAGCAGCAGTAGCTGCAGCCCCGGCCGGGGCAGTACATACCCCACTTCCTGGCGACTACTATAGTTCTATAGCTCAGAATGCCGACCTGTGATTGCGGGGCCCACGCACGCACACGCGCGCGCGATTGCACCATCACACCCTGTACGATTCACGCCGCGCTTAGAAGCATTTCGTGTATTCAACCGCACTGAGACTGGCGTATTTTCATTGGTCAGCCGGTTAGCCCGGTCGATGATAACAACAAAAACACCCACGCGCGCGATTGCACCATCGCCTCCTGTGCGATTCACGCCGCACACACGCACAAACACGCGATCGCACCACCACACCTGAGTGATTCGAAACTCACCACCACACCTGAGTGATTCGAAACTCACACACGCACACGCGATCGCGACTGCGCCGGCACCGCCGCAGCTTACCTTATCCACGCAGACCGTGAGACGGAAACCTCTGTCCTTGAGGCGGGCAAGCCTTGCCGCCGCCAGCCCGAACTCGGTCACTTCGCCGCCAGGCGACTCGAGCACAACGACTACCTGCCCGGGGGTAGAAGAAGCCGCCACCGCCGCGACGTAGCGAACAACGAGAACAAGCTTGGCCACATGGAGTGCTGAAGAAACAAAACAAATCTCACTAGTAGAACCGCAACTTTGGTGACGTGTCTCACCAGTATGGAATAGTTGCCAATATTCCTGAACCCCGTATCGACACAGAACATAGGGACTCACTAGCCTCGTCTATCGTGGTGATAACTAACAAAAAATATGGCATCGCCGGTGTAAGTGGAAGTAACCTACGTTATGCAAACTTGGACGACATACAAAATAAAAGGGAGAACAACAAACAATCAATCGCAGAGAGTATCTTCTCCCTTTCTCTCTCTCTCTCTCTCTCTCTCTCTCTCTCTCTCTCTCTCTCTCTCTCTCTCTCTCTCTCTCTCTCTCTCTCTCTCTCTCTCTCTCTCTCACTCTCTCTCGCTCTCTGTCTGTCTAAGTCTGTCTGTCTGTCTGTCTGTGTGTCGCTCTCTCTATTTCACTGTCACACTCGCCTCGTCAGTAGTGGTGTTCCCGTGTGCCACCAGAAATGAAACCGTCTCGGATAGCAGGTCCATTTCTTTCTGCATCGTCGCCTCGGGGGAGTGTCCCGGACGGAAGCTCACCACGAACACACGCTGTCATGTTTTCGTTTACAACAGCAAGGCAGGTACCAATGAGCAAAAAGGAGAGATTACGAGGTCTCGGAAAAAGTCCAGCATCAATGAGAAAAGCCAGAGGTTAGCAGGTCTCAGCAAAAGACATGTAATACGCCAGTGAGTGAAACCAGAGGTTAGCAGGTCTCGGAAAAAGTGTTCCAATCAGAAAAAAAACAGAGGGTAGGAGGTCTCCGAAAAAAAAGGCATGCACCAATGAGAAAAGACCAGAGGTTCCCGAGGTTAGGAGGTCTCGTTAAAAGAGTGCAGCAAAAAATCCCGGAGGCAAAAACAAAAACAAAGAAGGTGGAAACAACAGGATGGCGCAGAAAAAAAAAAAAAAATGAAATGAAATGAAATGAAGACGCCGTTTGATGTCTTGAGTTGGCCCGCGGAACTTCCTGTTCTCATTGGTGGCGATAACATTCCAAATAGTCTAGAGCAGCCGCTTGTAGCAACCGCGTGTGAACCGAACCGTCTCGTGGAGCAAGAAAACCCGCACACACCTTCTGGGGCTTGCCCGGCGAAGCCGTCACGGTGCTGTTCAAGGACCCCCCCTCCCGCGATGACGCTGACGCCGACAAGTCACCGACACTGGCCGTTTCGTCCGCTTTCTCACCCATGAGAACGCTTTCGCGGACGAAGCGCTCTCCGTTTTCCTCACCCGCGGCCTTCTTCCCCTCGCCCGCGGATGCAGAAGAGGACTCCGGTTCCTGCTTCGACCTCTTATTGCTGCTGTGCTTGCGCTTGCCCCTCCTCGTTCCGTGTTTCTTGGTTCTGTGGGTTCCCCCCCACTTGCTCTTCTTTTTCTTAGCCTAGAGGACGCGTACCGTCGTCCGTGAGATTATTCGCGGGCAGCAAGAGGCGAGAAGTGCAGTTTTGCGACGATCATCACGAGCTAAAACGAGAAAATAGGGAAGGGAGGCGTTGATAAAATACCTGCTTCATGTTGATCAGGACCGACATGGAAAATTGTTTTTGTCCATGGACGAAATAGGACAGAGTGCTCATTGACCTCGTCAAAGCAGCGACGCTAATATCCAGTCCAATATCCAACTCGACAGCAGCAGCAGCAGCAGCAGCAGCAACAGCAACAGCAACAACAACAACAAGGTTGACAAAATCATTGAGGTCGCCCCCACGAAAAACAGCTGTAGCAGTAGTGGCAGAAGCGACAGCAACAAAAACAGCAGCAGCAACTGAAGCAACGTCAACACAACCACGTCAACAGCAACAGCAACAACAACAGCAGCAGCAGCAGCAGCAACAGCAGCAACAACAGCAGCAGCAGCAGCAGCAGCAACAGCAGCATCAGCAACAACAAAAAAATGCGACAACAAAAACGACAGCATTACACTCATGAAAAAACACTTCTCGCACTCGTGGCTCAAAATCATTCAGCTAACTAAAAAGTCAATGGCCATGTGCTTTATCACCCCGAGTTGTACCTCCTGCTTGTCTCCGTACAGCCCCTTGAAAGCTTTCATAAGGCCGACCATGGAGGATCCACCATCGTCCCCGCCGCTCCCCGCCAGCAGCTGCGTCGCGTGACAACAACACAAAAAATCTCATTCTTGATTAAAAAAATAACTCAAACACTCATTTCTGAAAATGCATGGAAGTATCCATACTTGAAAAAAACAAACAAACGACTTTTGCTTACAAAAATACAATGTTGTGAGATAAACGGTTTGTGGTTCCCCGTGGAAGGTAAGAAAGAGAACACGGAAAAAAAACTCGGGAACTAACGACAAGATTACGCTGCGACAGCTTCCAAGCTCACGCTAGGAATGTCCAACTTGGGCCCGGACGCCGCAGCCAGAGCCTCGGCATCCTTGGCGAACATGTCGTTCATACTGCGATTGCGCGATGAGAGAGGGGGGCACGCATAGGATGGGGGGGGGGGGGGGGAGGCAACGTCGTACGGCTTGAGTTGTTTGTCGCAGGCGTTGTGCCCGGTGTTGTCAACGTCACGACAACAACTTCAGAGAGTGTTGTCAGGCCTATCACAAGATTCCACGATCATGGTCAGGCCTATCGTAAGATTCCACGACCATGGTCAGGCCTATCATACGTAAGATAACACACACCCTTGACCGAGTTTGAAAGCTCGACTACAATGCCACGGTGTCAAACTCAGTTGGTGCGGTGTCGGAAAGGTGAAGCAAAAAAAAATGGTCCCGACGTCGGCATTTTTGGCACCGCCATTCTTTCTGCGGCGGGAAATCAATCAAGCCATTAAAAAAAAATCGGTCCACGGGGTGTGGTACCTTGCGTATGATAGTCATGCCACCAACGGCACGCGCCCCGACGAAGAAAAAATTGTCACGGCAGGTGGGCAAGCGGGGCACCGCCCTCGAGACAGACGTGGGGGAAACGAGGCTCACGTTCGAGGACAACCCCACAACAAACACCCGCCGACAACCGTTTCGGGTACACCTTTCGGAACAATCGCTCGACAAACTAGAGGACCACAGCAGGCACGGAAGGCACACCGGAGCTATGCAAGTGGAGAAAAAAAAAAAGAGAGAGAAAAAAAAGCTGTGATTTAAGCTCCTACGGACGGTTGGTTGCCCCTTTTGCCTAAAATGCCTGGCACGACGCCTGCTCGTTGTTCACGACGGCGTCGTGCTTCCGCTTGTTTCGACACACCACCGATTGCTCTACTGCTTGATTCTAGACGGAGCCCAGCAAAGACGCGCATTGCCAAAAAACACATGGATGGTTCGTTTTAGAAAGCACTTTAACAGCAAGTATAGCTGGATATGTGTTTTTGGTTGGACGACGTTGTAATTTGCGGTCTTGCGGTGACCGCAGTTACGCGCTGCTACAGTCAGCACCAAAGAACCTCTAGTACAGTTGTGAGCCTGGCATAGCTTTCAGGGTCATGCGATTACTACGAATGGCCGCTATGTAGGTAGTGCTTAGCCGGGCTCACATATGGTGCCCAACTTGGTACGTTGTGATATAACGTTGAGCATGAATATATCAAGTTCTAAACTGCCAAGTTATTACGTGCGGGCGTAATCTACTGTAAGGCTGTAAATTATACAGGATACACACGTAAATGACTCTTCTTGGTTGGGTTAGTTGGAGTTTTCTGGGCTGTTGGAGAACAAAAACACACCAGCATTTGTGAGCTGTGGAGCTTGGGCAAGGTCGCACTGCAGCTGGCAGCCAGCTGTGGATTGGGTTAGTCTTGCTGCCAGTAGTATTTTCATCTTTCACCACTCCTTGATGTCACTGCTGTGATGTCATGAGCCAACTCCGGAGGTACCGTGGGAGGCGGAAATATGGCATCCCCCCCTAGCCGAGTTCCAAACCTCGCCTACTCCACAGCCAAGTGGGTGCGGAAAGCGCCCGGCACGTCTGCGGAAAACCCTCCACGAGATGTTTCCAAAACCGTAATTGTTGAAGTCGGAACAAGCTTGGTGGTAGAGCAATCGAGCTTTGAAAGTCGCTCTAGGGGAGGTGCCACCTCTCCGCCTGTCACGGAATACCACGGTACGGTATACGGTACGGTACAGACAATCTTGGTTGTGGAGCAATCGAGCTTTGAAAATCGGTCTAGGGGAGGTGCCATCTCTCCGGCACTTACGGCATCACTTGTAAATATGGAGTAAACCGTACCCCTCTCTACAAACCTGTGGAAGTCGAGGTGCTGTCCGTGAGCGTCCTCGGGGGTGAAGGCCTTCATTAGCCCTCCGAATACCCCCAAAGAGGCGTTAGACTTGTCCGTCCCCTTGCCGCCCTTGCCCTTGCCGGACGAACCGGCAGCTGGGTTGTCTTCCTCGCCGCCCTTGCCTGCATTCATGGGAAACAGAAAAGGGTGCCAGGGAAAAAAAATTGAACTCTACCAAATGACAATAAAAAGAGTGGGATATTCATACGTTCGACACGGACGACGAATATTCTTGTCACCTGTATTACACTCCCCACCACCACCACTACCGACGTGTTCCCGTCCATGAAGCCTTCACCCCCCCGCCGATGCAATCCTATCCGTGACCCCCTCCCCGCTCCGCCCTCGCGTGGACGAACAACTAATAAAAAATGAGTACGCTCCCCCCCTCCGCCCCCTTCTCTCTTCAGGTGTATGCAGTTGCGTATAGTTCTTCACCACGACAAAAAACGGATCACGAAAAAAGAAAACAAAAAAAAAAATAAAAAAAAACATTATCTGTCAAGAACAAAAAAACAACGCGGGTTGAGTCTACTCATGATCGGTTCTTCACCACGACGACAAAAACGGATAAACAAAAAAACGAAAAAAAAAAAAGAAGAAATCTGGTTGAGTCTACTCGTATCGATCGGCTCGCCTTGCTTCCCGGCGGCGTCTGCGCTGCGGGCAACGCCAACGAGCTCGGTCACCGTCTGCAGCAGCAGGGATCCCAGCAGCAGCCACTGAGTAATGTGGTTGTTCTTGAGCCACGGCATGATCTGAACGGGGGCGAAGGCAAGAGGAAAGAGGAAGGAATCGTGTCGTCGAGGAAAGCTGGTACAACACAAAAAACCAATTGCCTGCCCTGGCCCACGATGCACCTTCCAAGGGCCCCAGATCACGTGGCCCCTACAAGAGGTTTCCGTTTCTTACCGCGCTGAAACCGGCGTCTTCTTCAATGGTCAGCCGGTTAGTGCGGTCGACGTTCCCTCAACAAGCACTCACAGAGAAATGAGCAACAAGAGAGAGAGAGAGACAAGTCCAAGCCGGCAAACACTTTAAGAATCATCAACAGGGATGCGGGGGGGGGGGGGGGTGTACTCATAGTCGTGCATGCCGTAGTCGTTTGACCATTGACCTCGCATCCCTACAAAGCCGGGACGGAGCACGCCGGGTTCTCACCGGACCAGGCTCTCACATCACCAAGCGCGAAGCGCCGTGAGGTATTTGGCGAGTCGCATGAAGGGTGAGC